TGGGTAATTTATAGAACCTTGATTGATCGGGGGGGACAGCTGGAAGATTTAAAAACAGTATGGGAGACTCATAGAGAAGATAGATGAAGAGGATTGGGAAAATATCTGGAATAAAAGGGTTTTTTAAAAGATATGTCAATTAGGATAAAAGAAAATAATTATAAATATTACGGGGATGGTATTTAACAATGGTAAAATTAAATATAAATTATAAATATTCTAAGAAATGTTGGAAATGCAACAAAGAAGTTGGTACATGTTTTCATTTGTGGTGGAATAGTGAAGTTATACAAAAAGTATGGGTTAAATATTTGAAGAGATTAGAGAATTGTTGGAAGTCAATACAGTGGTGCCTCGCATAGCGATTGCTCCGTATAGCGACGAAATAACTTAGCAACGCTGTTTTTGCGATCGCAAAAGCGATCGCTTTGCGATGGTCCCTATGGGGAAATTTCGCTTTGCAATGATCGCAGGGAAGCGATCATTGCAAAGCCCCCATTTTCAGCCAGCTGATCGGTGGTTTCAAAATGGCCGCCCACTGTTTTCAGGCACGGATTCCTCACTTTAGAGGCACCGAAAATGGCGGCGCTATGGAGGATCTTCGCTTAAAGGTGAGTTTTAAGCCCATAGGAATGCATTAATCGTGTTTTAATGTGTTTCTATGGGCTTTTTATTTTCGCTTAGCGATGTTATCGCTTAGCAGTGATTTTTCTGCATGAATTAACATCACTAAGCGAGGCACCACTGTATTGAAATGGTTCCAAAAACAGCATTGTTATTGATGATAGAAAATTCTGATGTGAATAATACAAAAAAAAGGTTAATGAATTTTGGTAACTACAGCTCGATTGCTTATAGTGAAGAATTGGAAGCCGAATTGGGATTTCCAGCTGCAAGACTGGTACAGTGAAATATGGAATACAGTGATTAATGATAAATTAACTACAGAAATTAAGTTTAAAAAGAGAGAAATAAAGAATAATAGATTCAATGAAAGGTGGGAAGAATTTATAAAAGCTGCATTGTATAAAAGGAAAAACAGGCAGTGAATATATGTATTTTTGGAAGGATTTTGGGGGTGGATAAAGGAGAAGGAAGATTGTGATTATAAAGTATGTAAGATATAATGGTCCTTAGTGGGAGGGATGCACTTGTATTTTGTGTTTATGTGTTTAGTAAGTTTTCTGTGTTAGTAGTAAAAAAGAGAGAGAGAGAGAGAGGTGCAGTCCCACACGTTTGCTCAGAAGTAAACCCCACTACATAAATTAGTTACACCGGAAACTTGCATATCTACTTTGAGATTACAAGCATGTGTACTACCTTGGTACATGTGCTTGTAATCTCAAGATTAGACCACTATAATACGCTTTACCTTTGAAGTTGACACGGAAACTCCAGGTGGTGCAGAATGAGGCAGCCAGACTCCTTAGTGCAGCGAGAAAATACCACCGTATTTCTCCTATTCTGGCCGCACTGCATTGGCTGCCCATTCAGTTCCGCATTGACTTCAAAGTCTTGATGCTTACGTATAAAGCCCTAAACGGTTTAGGGCCTCCATACGTGATGGAACGGCTACTCTACCCGTGTCACTCGTGCGAGCCAGGAGGTGAGGCAGAGGAGCCTGACACCGAGGGAGGCCTGGAAGGAAAAAACAAGAAACCAGGCCTTCTTGGCCATGGCTCCTCGCCTTTGGAACAATCTGCCTCCGGAGATTTACGCGGCCCCCTTGCTGGGTATTTTTAAAAAACAACTAAAAACGTGGATGTTCAGGCAGGCCTTCCCCTCCAGTTAATATCTGATTCTCTCCTTTTTTCTTTTGTGGATTATCTTTCATTTTTTCTTTCCCATCTTGAAAATATTGATTATTTAATGTAATAACTCTTTTTTATTATTTTATTATAGTATTACGAGTCTGTAAGCCGCCTAGAGCGGTTGCAATGACCAGATAGGCGGGATATAAATTGAATGAATGAATGAATGAATGAATGAATGAATGAATGAATGAATGAATGAATGAATGAATGAATGAATGAATGAATGAATGAATGAATGAATGAATGAATGAATGAATGAATGAATGAATGAATGAATGAATGAATGAATGAATGAATGAATGAATGAATGAATGAATAAATAAATAAATAAATAAATAAATGTAATAGATAAGAATGAATATTGTAAAATGTTCATGTTGATTTACAACCCCTGTTCAGTCCCATGTTCCCTATTCCTTCACCTGACCTATAAAAGAAAATTAAAAAATTTAAAAAAGGAGTAAACCCCACTACTGAGTGTATTGGGTTTTTTTGTTTTGTTGTTGTTGTTGTTGTTTTTTGCTAGGAAAGTGTGTGTAAGACTGCAGCTGAACACAAACTGTAGTGGCTCTCCAAATCCCTCTGAACAAACAGTTGATTCATGTTACGGTTAGAAGTAAAGAATAATCCCAAATATTTGGAAGAACAAAAAATCATTCACGGCTGTGGTGGTGCTGAGGACAGAGCTGCATGCGGCATTTAGCCTTCCTTGTCATTTGTTGATAGGCATAGTGGAGGATGCTATTCCACCACCAGCGGATTAGCTTTTCTAAAAGGGAAAGGAATGACAGCCCTATCTGCCCGTCAAATTGCGGCAGAATGTCTTGGGCTGGCCTGCATGCTCTCTTTCTCTATCTCTCCCCCCCCTCACACACACACACACACACACATTTTTGTAGTTGTAATAAGGTAGGGAAATATGACTGAAGACTTATCCTGTCTGATAGGTCATGGATTGTACAATTTTGATCTACTGCTAAGTCTGGATGTGAAAATGAGGCATTAGCTGAGAAGAATCATTGCCATCTTTGTGTTGTTGTTGTTGTTGTTGTTGTTGTTGTTATGGAAGTGCATCTATCTTTGATTATGTTAATCTACAGATGATCCTGAGAATGGAGATAAGAGAGGTTCTCCTGAGCGAGAGCTGAGTCTCAGGGACTACCAAATGGAAGTAGCTAGACCAGCCTTGGAAGGGAAGAATATTCTGCTGTGTCTCCCTACAGGCAGTGGCAAAACCCGAGTGGCTGTTTACGTTGCCAAAAACCACCTGGATAAGAAAAAAGAAGATGGTAAAGGGAGTGGAAAAGTTATAGTACTTGTCAACAAGGTATGCTATTCCATTATCTTAGTGTCATCAAGGTATGATTGAGGGATTAAGGATCTGGCTGCGGAGTCAGAGTTGGGAGTTCGATTCCTCACTGTCCCATCCAGCTCTGCAGCTCAAGGTCCAGAGCCCCATACAGGAGGTCCCCAGGTATGGTAGGGCTGGATGATCATATTTTAACATAGGAGGGGGCAGGCTTTAGACTTGCAAAACCAACTTTCTTTTCAGAACCCCATGGTCTACTGACTGTGGAGGTACTGGAGGTTCGAAAGGGTGGTGCAGGGAGCAGGGTCAGATAGCTACTGCTCCCTGTGAATCATTCACTTAAAATAACTTGCAGGCACAAATGTGGAGTTGCAACGTTAAGGGTTCTAACAATGTAATTTAGACCTATAAATGGCAGCTGTTAAATAATTGCGAGTGAAGGTACAGGGACATAGGGCGCTGCCTTGTGTTGATTTAAACAACTGGTCCTTTTAGGCTGGTATTGTCATCTCTAACTGGGAATGGCTCCCTGGGGTTTCAGGCATAATTCCCAATGACCAACGTTGTCAGCAGAGCCATGGTATTCCCTGATGCTCTCCTGCTCCAAGTACTTACCAAGCCCTGGCCCTACTTAACTTTAGAAATTGGATGAGATTGCATTCAGGCTGGTATGGTGGCCTTAGTGATTAAACCATTGCTAGTCAATTGCAGATAATTCAGAGATCTGTCCTCAGATCCCATTCTTCCTTCTACTCACTTCTGAAAGCAGATTCCCTATAACATTATCATCTTGATCGGCCTCCTTTGCCCCCTAAGCCATGATGCCCAGAGACTAAAATTGTGTAACAGTGCCATAGCTCCTAGTATGATTCACCCCAAACATGGAACTGTAGGGCGATACGTATTGCTCGAGATCCAGAAGAGCCAAATTGTATATACTGGATGGGATGACCATTCGTCAACACCTTATTCTGGCACATGTGTTAAGTTCCAACCTCATTGCTGCTTTTTTTCCCCTGGAAACTCTTCTGCAGGTACCTTTGGTGGAGCAGCATTACCGGAAAGAATTTTATCCCTACTTGAAGCATTCATATAGAGTGACTGGGCTGAGCGGTGCAACACAGCTAAAAATTTCATTCCCTAAAGTTGTCAGAGAGCATGATGTCATCATCTGTACAGCTCAAATTCTTGAGAATGCTTTGCAAAATGCAGACACAAATGATGATGAAGGAGTCCAGTTATCAGGCATGTATCACCAATAACAGCGTGTTTCTGGCTGTGTGGTCCAGTCTGTATGTTATACTCTTTATGTTATAATCTTAATTTTATTTTATTTTTAACAAAGGGTAACAGGAAGGAAAAAGGGATTGAGGTTAAGGGGAAAAGGAGAAACAATGACATACTAACATCCATTCTATACATAATGCCATATCAAAATTCCAAATTGCTCTTTTTACTATTTTCTGCCTTCCAGATTTAAGTTCTCATTTTAATGCATGTTCTTCAAGCGATGTCTGATGACTCAAACCATTTGTAGAATAAGTCCCATCTTTCAGTTGCCTTTTGTAGAGGACAATCCTTCATCACTTCTGATAAAATGTCCATTTCTGCTGTTTCCCGTATCTTCTCTATAAGATCTTCTTGTTTCGGTACCGTCCGACTTTTCCAATTTTTGGCATAAAGAATTCTAGCTGCAGTGGCTATGTATATAACTATATACAGTGGTGCCTTGCTTAACGAGCGCACCGTATAATGAGGAAATCGCATAGTGATGAGGTTTTTCCGATCGCTATTGCGATCGCTTACCGATGGCCCCAATGGGCGAAAATCGCATTGCGAAGACCGGTAAGCGTTTCGCTTGCCGATCTTCACATTGCAACGCCCGACAATCAGCTGTTCGGCGGTTCTAAAATGGCCGCCGCGCGACCCAAAATGGCTGCCCACATTGTTTTCGCGCCCTGCCCTCGCTTACCGAGGGCACGAAAATGGCGGCGCAATGAGGAAACTTCGCTGAACGGTGAGATGTTATAATCTTTATTTTATTTTATTTTATTTTTGGGATTGAGGTTAAGGGCAAGAGGAGAAACAATGACATACTAACATCCATTCTATAAATATTGCCATATCAAAATTCCAAGTTGCTCTTTTTACTATTTTCTGCCTTCCAGATGTAAGTTCTCATTTTAATGCATGTTCTTCAAGCAATGTCTGATTACTCAAACCATTTGTAGAATAAGTCCCATCTTTCAGTTGCCTTTTGTAGAGGACAATCCTTCATCACTGCTGATAAAATGTCTATTTCTGCTGTTTCCCGTATCTTCTCTATAAGATCTTCTTGTTTCGATACCATCGGACTTTTCCAATTTTTGGCATAAAGAATTCTAGCTGCAGTGGCTATGTATATAACTATATACAGTGGTGCCTTGCTTAACGAGCGCACCGTATAATGAGGAAATCGCATAGTGATGAGGTTTTTCCGATCGCTATTGCGATCGCTTACCGATGGCCCCAATGGGCGAAAATCGCATTGCGAAGACCGGTAAGCGTTTCGCTTGCCGATCTTCACATTGCAACGCCCGACAATCAGCTGTTCGGCGGTTCTAAAATGGCCGCCGCGCGACCCAAAATGGCTGCCCACATTGTTTTCGCGCCCTGCCCTCGCTTACCGAGGGCACGAAAATGGCGGCGCAATGAGGAAACTTCGCTGAACGGTGAGTAAAGAAGCCATTGGAACGCATTAAACTAAGTTTAATGCGTTCCAATGGCATTTTCGATCATGTTTAGCGATGTTTCTTCATAGTGAAGGTTAATCCGGAACGGATTAACCTCACTATGTGAGGCACCACTGTACTTCTTTGTCTTATCTATGTTACCAGGTATCATACTCAATAAAAACAGTTCTGGGGTTAATGGAACCTTACAAATCAATATTTGTTGCAGCACAGCCTGTACTCTTTTCCAATACTCTTTCGCTACTCTACATGACCACCACATATAAGATGTTATAATCTTGAAGTGACCACTTTTGTTTGGGAAGAAGAATTGCCATGAGGCCCCAGTCTAGAATGTAATTAGCATTTGGGGACGCATGCATACTCATTCTTCATTGCATTTTCATTTGTGAAACATTAATGCTAGCCATGTAAATCTGATGTTATAATCTTGAAGTGACCACTTCTGTTTGGGAAGAAGAGCTGCCATGAGGCCCCAGTCTAGAATGTGCTAGGATCAAAATAAGGTAGCCACAGCAGTTTTCTAACAAAAAAAAATCCCTTCATTTGCTTTTGTCCCTGAAGATATTGGTGTGGCATTCAGGGCCAGGTTGGAGGGCTGTGTAATTAAGCCTTTAGACCTCTTAGGTGTATCTTGAGAAATGGTAGTACGTAATTAGCATTTGGGGACTCATGCATACTCATTCTTCATTGCATTTGCATTTTTGAAACATTAATGCTAGCCATGTAAATCTAGAATGTTTGATGTCTTCCATGTTAACAGCCAGACACAGGGAACCTTGACCCTTTTGTTGTGCTGCAATTCCTATAAGCTCCAGCCATCAGAATCACTGGTCAGGGATAATGGGCATAGTAATCTAAGAGCATTTAGAGACAGAGATGATACAGATTCAACCTCATTCCGGGCCCAAGGAAGCAAGTTTTTCCACACCTGATAATTGAAGTGTGGGAAGCAATAAGGGATGAAGATATGCAAAAAATATATAGGAATAGGATTTAAGAGTCACTCTCATTAATGGACAGGTGTGGATAAATCTTTCTTGATGGTGTTTTGGGAAATAGTCTGTACAGGCTGAAGTACACATGTATCCACTTTAAGATCTATACAGGCTGAAGTACACATCCATAAAGATGGGACCCAGACTATATATTTTGAAGGTGGCAGCACGCAATTAGCATTTGGTGTTGATACATATTTACTATGAGTTGGATTTTTAATGTCTTTCATGTTTTTACCAATTCTAAGCTAAATGCAAGGCAACATTAGCCTCTAAAGAACTTTACAGCCTGGGTGTTCAATATGTGAAGAAGGGGTTTCCCCATTTCTGCCCCTTTGAATTAACAGATGTAAATGAGCCCTTTCTTCAGGTTTCACTTTGCATCTATTGAGAACAAGGTGGATTTTCTCCTTCCCTTGCCCACTCACCCTTTTTTTTTCTTTTGAAGGCAGATCAGAGGTATCTACTTCATTGGTCTATTTTAGAATTTCTGTGTGGAAGCTTTGTTTTGTTTTGAAATCAGCTGTTTAATACCCACACTGCTGAAATGTACCATGTTTCGAACCACTTGCAGTTTTCTTTATTTCATAGTTTGCCCAGTTGTTGTTGTTGTTTTCTGCCCCTGCTGATCTCTTACTCACAAGAGAACTCGGCAACATGGCCTCTTCCACACTGGGAAAGAGAGTTGCCAATCAAACAAAGAGACTGCTGAGATAGATGATAAGAGATGGAGGATGGGGCAGAATTTTTAGGCTTTATGTTTGAGTTGAGTGTGGTCAACTGGACGAAGGTAAGTATCGCCAATGAAACCTATGGGTGCATTTGTTTGATTATAATTTCTGGAATGTCATAGAATGCAAACGGATATTGATGTGCTTTTAAATTTATTAAAAAAAACCCCACAGAGGTGTATGAAATGAGTGCTGTACAGTTTCATGTTATCGTTCACTCCTGTTACTATGTCTAGTTGAAAATACTTGCATGGACAAGAGTTGTTTCTCCTACATCACAAGCCCAGGGATGCTGTACGTTTGTTTCAACAGACTGCTTTTGCTGGTTGAGTTATTTGTGTCTGGAGATCTTTGTCAACTGGCATAGGTCTACATTTTCAACCTATTTCTTTTTTCCTACATTTGTGGCTTGTTTGATCCTGCCAGGTATTTTGGACTGCAGCTCCCATCATTCCTAGCCAGCATAGTTAATTGGCCAGTGGGATGGGAGTTTTAGTCCAAAACTTTTGAAAGGGCTGTTTCAAAGTATGCTCCACTTATTTTTTTTTAAAAAATAACACACGTGCCTTGAATAAAAGAAGTGCTCTGCTGGGCATGCTATAGCACTGTCCTGAGTTGCGTCCCTTTGGGGGATGTATGTTCTGAGCTGCCAGTCAAATGTAGGCATATTTAATAAAAACAAAGTGGAATGCTTAACAGTGGCTTTGTGTGTACCAGAGAACTGACTGATCCGTGATCATTATCTTCCAGCGTTCTCTTTGATGATTATTGATGAATGCCATCATACTCAGAAGGAAGCCGTCTATAATAATATCATGCGCCGTTATTTAAAGCAAAAGAGGGAAAACCAGAAGAGGAGCAAACGGGGTGAACCACTAATCCCCCAACCTCAGGTTCTGGGACTGACCGCTTCCCCTGGTGTCGGAGGTGCACGGAACGCTTCCAAGGCTGTGGAACATATTCTGAAAGTAAGTCAAGCAGGAAAGCTGTCACAGAGGGTAGGACTGCGGTTTGAAAGAAGAGAAGGAGAACCAAAGTTAGATAAATGAATGAAAATCTCACAAACTGTGTGGCTCCTCAGCCTGAAATTCTAAGATTCCCCAACCATGCCAGTGTGGAAGATCAAGGGAGGGGAAGTTGCTTGCTTGGTAAGCTGTATTTGAGAAGGCTGAGAACTTATTGCCAAGGCTGATGTCATAGTGTTATCGGCACTATGTCATAGTGATTCCTGATGACATAGTGTCACCAGTAATTACACTTAACGAGTCCTAACTTTTCTACAAGAACAGAAGATTAGGGCAGTCCTAATTCAGTCATTGCATTTGAGATTTGCACTCTTGCATAGGCTCTCCCCATTATTAGGCCTCATAGGGTCTCAGGGCAACGAGTGAGGAAAGCTACATTTCTCATGGACCACTAGGATAATGAGGGAAAGGCAAGTGCTACACCAATACTTCCTCTCATGCAAATACTTGTTTATATCTTAAAATATTTGAGTTGCTTTATGTTGTACCTTGTTCTGAGACATTTATGATGCAGGATGGGATATGGGTACCAGTTGGTGGTGGATTCGGCTGCAGGCGGATTCTCATTCAGACCTTTAAAACAAGTCAAAGAAAAAAAATGGCCTTCATTATTCTCTCCCCCTTCCCTTGTCTCCTCCCACTTTCGGGAGGAAGCTTTCTATTTTTCTTTTAAATAAGTGATGCAGTGTATCTGTGCTGCTGTAATGAAGTCAATTTTTTTTTAAAAAAAAAAGTTCCTGTGCAAAGCGCGCTCCTTTGGAGGAGCAGAAGAAGAACAGAAGAGCAGAAGTTTTTAATTTGCCAGTGTCCTGCTCTCTTCTTAAGCCACTTCACATTATGGCGGAAAAAGCCCTGACAGCTAAAGGCTTGCTTATGTTCATTTTCAGCAGTTGCATGCACTGGAAATGAACCAAAAAAACAGAGCAATCTGTGCCGAAAAAGTAGACGCCCTTGACATGGGCCCAGAAAGATTCAGGTGGGAATGCTCTAAGATTGGGCTGGTTGGCTCCAGCAGTTACATCCTGTAATCAACAGAAAAAGAAGCAAATAGCTGACCGAGTTAAATGCCCATCTCATTGCATCGTCAGAGAAATTATCCTGATGTGGGGAGATAACAGGGTAGTTTCTGATAATTTTGGGGTGAACTGAAGATTTAAGTAAATTAAATAGTTTGATGATGTGACAAACAGGCTAAGCAGCATTGCAGATTTGGAGGGGGGAGAAGGGGGAAACTTGTCAAGAGAGATGCCAGTTGATTTTCGGTGGTAGATGTGTGTGTGTGGTACGATCCTTATCTCTCCTCTTTGAGTTTCTTCAGTGTTCAGAAAGGGATAGGAATTTGACAGTCTCTTACGAAAGTTTTTGTTCTAAGAAAATAGCACTTGTGGATGCATGAAATAGAATTAGGAGCAGCTGACAGAGTCCTGCGTAGTATATTCTGTGGGTGCCTGTAGGCAACACCACAACCCATGTTAAAATTAAACTTGGGGGCACCTTACATCTGTACCACAGCATAAAATATGATACATTTGCAGCCTTTGCACTGGATTTGGCAAGAGAAAGAAGGCTTGGATCCTGGCTTGTACTAGAGGAAGCAAGGGAGACAATTGCTCATTTCTCCGTACCTCACCTTAAAAACTTGATCTAAATGGTGGAGGATGCTCCCAAACAGTGTGGGAGGTTACAGAAGCTGCAGGAGAAGGACAGAATTGACGATCATGGTCTTTCCTCCCTCCCTTTCTCCAGCATAGTTCTCCCATGGGTTGGAGCTGCTTTGATGGCAAAACAACTCCTGAATTAACCTAGTTTGAGTACTTGAAATGGGAGGGAGGTATGTCTGCCTTGGTAGTTGCAAAGGCAAACATGGGAAGAGTTTTAAAATGCCAGCTGGAGAGGAGAAGATTAAGAAGAGGAAACCAGAAATCATTCTGAGCAACCCAGATTTAGGTAGCCATAAATCTACACTCTGCACTGGACAGAATTCAGTTACTGAAGCAGAAAACAACAACAACAAATCTCCCAGGCGCACATTTCTTCATGGTCGGACACCCTCATTAATCATCTGTAGTAATGAAAGCTTAATGAGAATGATTAATTTCCTGGGGGGACTGTTAACAGCTTTAGGCAACATGAGTCACAAAATGCATGTGTTATATCTGTCATAACATTGCTTCCTCCAGATATGTGCCAATCTTGATGCAGAAGGAATTATGACAGTTCAGGAACACACCTCTCAGTTGAAAAATCAGGTGAAGGAGCCCCTTAAGAAGTTTGAGATTGCGGACGACAAAAGAAAGGTAGGAAGTTTGGTTGGGGCTTATGGCTGTAAATTGTCTTCTCACTTATTTTCTCGCCTCCTTTCTTCCTTTTTTAACCAAATAAAGATTGGTGTTTGCTCCAGTCTTTCAAGGTATACTTCCACTAACTGGAGAGAGGAGAGGATTTCAGATAAATAACAATAATTAGCATTAGAGCTGGACTCGGTATCCTTTGAATGAAAGGACTCTTTCAGGATTTAGGATCTGAGAGAATCCCCTTGCTAAAGGAAGAGGGTGAGGGAGCAGTTTTGCTCTTATTCCCTCTGCCGTTATTGATGGAACCACATACAGTACATTGTTCTGGAAGATCAACCACCATCTGATACAGCCTGGTAGATGAGGCTGGTGCAAGGTGTGAGAGAAGAGAAATTAGCTACTCTCTTGCTCCAGCATAAGCAGAACTCAACCAAGTGCCTGTCTGTCGTTGTGGATGGGCTCATTGTTGACTCTGGCTTCTCAGCCTTTCAGGAACATTGGTGTTAATGTTTACAATGCTAGCCTACAAAAAAAGTAGAAAACAAAGGAGTTGTCTTCCGTTCTTGGCACACATGAGGAGGGGCACAGAGGAACAAGGCTGACCCAACGTGGTTTATTGCCTGAAGCAATTCCCCCTCCTCGTTTGACATTGGTGACGGGAGCAGTCCTCCAACAGTAGCTGATGTGGTTGGGGCAGGCTGTGTGGCATATACCACTCTGTCTCCCAGCACCTCTCTAGCCTCAGTATCTGCACCCTAAGAGAGCTGCTTTCTGTGCTTTCTGTGCCAGCCCTGATGGCAGAACTAAAGTATGGAACATTAGAACGGAAGAGCAATTAATTATAGGTAAAAATCACAAATTGGAACTGGGATAAACCAGTGTGTGCCCATCTCTCTTCTTGTTGCAGTTATTGAACACCTTTCCTCTTTGGAGCTGGCTGGGGTATCTGAGAAACTTTATTTAATGAAGTGAGGTTTACTTCTGGGTAGGCATGTTACAAGTGTACTATGCTGCACATGCAGATTTATTTATTCTTTAAAGAAAGAAATAGATAAGGCAGTGACTGTGACCTTTTACCACAACATTTAGAATGGAGGAAGTCAGTAATTATGATTCTCACCGAGTTGAATGAAACTTAGTCCCGGGTAAGAGGGTTTGAGGTTGCTGCATTCTGGTAATCCTGTGTTCCAGTCAGCAGAGAATTCCTCAGGCTGTCTCATCTGTTTCTTTGTACGCAGCCAACTTCTCTACCCTCATCCTCTATAAGGCAGGCAAATCTCTTGTTGGAAGGATCTGCAGAGACCTTCTGGGGAGGGTTATTCAAATTGTCTGTGCAGATTGTATGTTTTGCATTTTCCAGAGGCTATAGAATCATAGAATAGAATCATAAAATAGTCCAACCCTGTGCTCAGTGCAGGAATACAAATCAAAGGATATGTGCCAGATGGTTATCTAAGTTTCTCTTGAATGCCTCCAGTGTTGGAGCATTCCCCACCTCTCTAGGTAATTGATTCAATTGCTGTACTGCTCTAACAGTTGGGAAGTTTTTCCTGATACTCAACTGAAACCTGCCTTCCTGTAACTTGATCTCGTTGTTGCATGTCCTGCACTCTGGGGTGATCAAAAACAAATCCTCCTTCTCAATGACAGCCTTTCAAGTACAGTAGTGCCCCGCATAGTGACATTAATCCATTCTAGATTAATTGTCGCTATGCAGAAACATCGCTAAATGGAACGGAAAAAGCCATAGGAATGCGCTCACCGTTCAGCGAAGTTCCCCCATAGCGCCTCCATTTTCGCGCCCTCGGTAAGTGAGGGCAGGGCGCGAAAACACTTGCGGCAGCCATTTTGGGCACCCGGCGGCCATTTTGGAACCGCCGATCAGCTGTTTAAAAAACCATTGCAATGCGATGTTTTGCCTATTCAGAACATCGCAATGCGATCGCTATGCAGATTCATCGTTATACGGTGCACTCGTTAAGCGAGGCACCACTGTATTTGAAAGTATTTCTAGAAAGCTCAGCCTGTGATCCCAAAAATCAAATCCCTCCTGTCAACACCACCTTCATAGCCAGTCATTCACCCGGAGTATTTCCCTTTCCCGTTCCTCTTCTGAATACTGGTACAATGGATGAGAAATCTATCTGGCTCCCAAAGTCCTTACGTTCCCTTCCCAGAGCTTTGAACTCTGATGTGATGTCTTCAGAGTTGCTCTTGGCTGTCTCATTTGTTCCCACAAGGATGAGAAGAAAGGGATATGTATCTGTGGGTTTTATGAGTGATGTTAGACCTTCTGTTATATTCCCTAATCTGTGCTCCAGGGAGACAGCACACTCTATCCATCACTTCTTTTTTTCCAAGTTTTGGGATAGGTATGTTGAACTGATTCGGGTGTGATAGGAATTGTTCACCATGTTCTTACCAGCTATTTTGGATGAGGGAGGCAGACTTAAAGGATGTTTTGTACGTATTTTCAGTAAAAGGTCTTATTCTATTATACTAAGCATTTGTTTAAAAAAAGAAAAGAAAGGGGATTCTAATCCTTGTAACTGAGGGTGTGATCAGATGGCAAGAAAGGTCATCAGAAAGGGTCACCCTTCTGTCCAGTAGGAAATCACTGCAGCCTGCCCCCCAAAAGTGGTAGCCCTACTGTTGGACTAAAAATGTCCAGCTAGGATATGGACCAAGATCAGGCTAGAGCACTATTCCCTGTATGTGATATAATTGACTGGAAATTGCACAAATCACATTGTGCCACCAGTGGTCCAAAATACAAGCTATATACCTATGTGATCACATCCTGAGAATAGCTAAATGGCTCTTTATGGAGTAAATGTTCTCAATCTTGGAATCTTGGACTGTAGCTCTAGTATGAATAATAAAAATGGAAATATGTATATGTTTATCCTTTTTTGGAGGTGGAATGAATTGCTCTTTCTGCAGAGTTCATGCCAGCAAATGTTCATACTAAGGAAAACTTGAATGTTGCTTTTTATGGGTAAACTTAAGCAGAAGGAATCCTGTCTCTTGTTGATGGTGATAGACTATCTAGCCTCTCTTCAATGAATTTCTGTGGGATTTTTGTAATTTTAGGATCCATTTAGAGAAGAACTCATAGATATAATGACAAAGATCCAGGAGTATTGCCATTTCAACCCAAATGCTGAATTTGGCTCTCAAACCTATGAACAGTGGGTAATCCAAGAGGAGAAAAAAGGTAACTTCCATATGTAATTATTGTAATGTATTCCCTCCTTCACTATCCAAAGCTGTCCCAGAGATCTCTTTACTGGTTTTGTAATGGCATTTTTCCTTCTCCTAGCTGCGAAAGAAAAAAACCGCAAGGAACGTGTCTGTGCAGAGCATTTGAAGAAATACAATGATGCCTTGCTCATCAACGACACTATCCGGATGACTGATGCATATCACCATCTCAGGAACTTTTATAAGGAAGAGAAGAACAAGAAGATGGCAATAAATGAAGATGATGAGGATAAGCCATTCACACCAAAACGAGATGAAACAGATAAATTCCTGATGGATTTATTCTATGGTAACAATGAGACATCTTGTAAATTGCTTTATATATTTGTTCACATCTGTATACAGATGCAGACAAGGATGAGCACCTTGGCCACTCCTTTTAGCGAGGTCCTCAGTTGAGGTGTTCAGAAAGAGGCAATTTAGAGGTGCCAGCTAATGCTGGCAGTTGTATTCGGTGTTCGTAAATTTATCTGCTGAATTTATTTCTCCAGCATGTGCCTTTGTGGATCCTGCCATTTGTATATATGTTAAGGGATACCAGTTACAAAGCTTCTTTAAGCAAAAGTCTCCCTGAAGGCCAAGTCTCAAATGAAAGCATGTATAGGTAGAGAGAGAGAGAGAGGGAGGGGGATGGATGGATGGATACACCACTAGGCTTGACTTTTCCATTTTTTGTGATTGAAGCGGTGATGAGATTCATCGAGCAACACAGTGGATTAAAATCAATGATCTTTTAAAAATCAAATTGATTAGCAACACAGTGGATTAAAATCAATGATTTTTAAAAAATCAAATTGATTTAAATTGTGATTTCAATCCATCCTGTCTAGCTATAGAAAGGAAAAACTGTGGTTTCAGAAATTAATTTCTAGCCAGAACTGGCTGACCCATCAACTTCACCTTGGTTTGCTAATGAAGGCACTGAACCTTCAGTGAGATTTGTTTAATGTTTATTGTTTTTCTTTAGATATTTTATGAAGTTTGAAAGTTTTCATCCAGTGTGATCGTGTGTATTTCATTCTTTAAAAACACAGTTCTTGGGGTATGCCGTGAATTTCTGCAGATAGAGGCCACAGGCTATTGGTTGCCTTTAATTCACAAGGACACACTGCAACGTTCCTGGTTCACATAGAACTGTGATCCATACTTTTCTGCTTATGTGCATGAGCACAAAGGATTCTGAACAAAAGGCTTCCGCTTGTACATTACTTTCTTATCATTAGCTCAGATCTTGGCTTAGCACGAAAGATGAACATGATTTAGAATTTTGGTTTGTTCAGTGAGCCAGGCCCGTCCTCCCCTCTTTCCGTCACGGCTGTCTCACCTTAGAGCAGCAGCGGAATTTGGGGAACTGAGGTATCTGTTAGGATGGGCGGACCATGAGGTCCTGGGGGGCGGAGCCAAAAGTGTTACTTTAAACTCTAGAATATTCCGAGGCCTCTGCACAAGTACAGATTTAACCCATTAGTGTGAATTCACAGAGGACCACTCGAAGAACCAGAGTTACAGGTAAGTAACCTTTCTTTACCCACCAGCTTTGAAACTGGCATGTTTAAAAACGTATCAAAATTTGATTTGAACCAGTTTCTAGTTTATACATGATGCTAGGTAACAATTTTTGGATGTTGGACTAAATGCTAGAAGTGCTTCTGGTTGCAGGGATGAGTCTTGTACCCATTTCAACTCATGCATGTAGCCCTAAACCGGGGATAGAAACTATGGTGTCCTCTAGGTGCTTTGGCCTACAAATCTCATCATCCTTGACTATTGGCTATGAAGGCTGAGCATGATCTGGGTTGACCAAAATATATGGTGGGAACTGTGCTGCCTACTGCTTTATTGCACCATGGTGTACCATTAAACATTAGCCAGTTGATTAAGTCCAATTATAGTTGCTTTCCCAGAGAAGCTGTAGAGATTTTTACATGAGTCTTTGAGGACTGTAATCCTCAAATTTAAATCTAATTGAGTAAATCATTGTGGTCCTAGGAGGACTTAATCTGAACACACATGTATAAGAAGCTCTATGCTGCATTATCTCTAATTGTTGTAGTTTTCATACCCATCATTATATGTACCAATGTTTTTTAAGGCTCTAGAATTCACTGTCACAAAATGGAGTGATGGCTGCCAATATGGACTGTTTTAAGGGGACTGGGGAAATCTTTGAAAGTTAGGGCAGGCAAAAACTGCTAAGGGTAGCTGCATGCCACCTCCAGTATTATAAATAGCATACCTTTGTATATCAGTTGCTGGGGAGTATGTGATAAAGTGTGCTATTGTTCATATGTCCTTTGGCGGGTTTTCCATGGGTGTATCAACGGTGGCCATGTGAACAAAATGTTGGACAAGAGAGGACTTAGGTCTGATCCAGTATGGCTGTTATTTTAATGAGCCAGAGAGATATTTTGCTCTTGTAAAGTTTTGCCTTGTGGTGACATTTTGTTCAATTATACTTTTAAAGATAAGGCGAAGATGCTGCATAGTTTAGCAGGAATCGACCAAAATGAAAACAACAAGTTGAAAGACTTGCGTGCAATATTAATGGAAGAGTTTGCGAAGACAGACAAAGCAAGGGGAATCATTTTCACAAAAACTCGACAAAGTGCCTTTGCCCTTTATCAGTGGATTAAGGAGAATCCCAAATTTGAAGAAGCCGGAGTGAAGGCTCGCTACCTTATCGGCGCAGGACACAATAGTGAATTTAAGCCCATGACTCAGGTAAAAAAAACAATTCCCTTTACCATGTGGTCGCAAGCAGGAATCCTGACTCCTCTTGCCTGATGTTTGATTCAGCACGTATTTGAACAAATCACTAGTATGGAGTTGTGATATGCACACAAAACAGTGTTTGAGAAAGACACATTTTAAAAGTCAGCATCTTAGTCACTTTGTTGCTTTCCTGAAAGTAGGACTATTCTCATGTTCTTATAAAGACAGAAACTGCATTTTTAAGTTGCCCCTCAACCTCTAAATACAGAGAATTTTGTCCTGTTAGCCCATGGACGTTGGTCATGAACCTGTTGACAATATGTTTCTACAGAATGAACAAAAAGATGTCATTGAAAAGTTCCGTGTTGGCAAAATCAACTTGCTTATTGCAACTACTGTGGCAGAAGAAGGCCTGGATATCCCAGAGTGTAACATTGTCATACGCTATGGCCTTGTCACCAACGAGATTGCCATGATGCAGGTACGACTGTTTCAAGATTCAGATGCCTTGTGATCTATAAAGGTTCTGTAATGGTGAAGACACAAAGATCCTGGAGAAATAAATCCAATCCCTATTTTTCTGAAGCCATTAGTAGATGAGAAATGTGCTCCTTTTCAGCTATCATCCATGCCCCTCTCCACTCCACTCTGCCTCTCCATCCTCCACTTTCCCGTTTTTGTTCTTCCTCCAACTGATATTCAGAATTTTGCTGCCATGGAACATACTCAGTTGCCATTACTGTGCTGTTTCTCTTTTAAGCCCTAACAAGGAGCTTCCGGTGCTTGTTTGCAGACTTGGAGATTCCTCCTTGTTTTTCAGTCACCCAGTTTAGCTGGTCTCGCCTGGTCCTCCCAAGGCTGTGTTGTTATAGGTAGCTATGCCAAAGGAGGCAAGTAGGGCTTCCACTAGAAATCAAGCCTTCTCGGTGAGGTCCTCATCACTTTGGATTGGTCTCATACTAGAAACCCTCTCTGCAGACTTTCAAAAAGTTACTAAAAACTGAACTCTTCAAGAGGCCTTTAAGGACGGTCTTCCCCTTAGACAGTGGTCTTTGTTTTTTCCTTAGTGAATTGTCTTCATCTGTTAGTTAATAGCTCCAGTTTGTTATTTGTTTAGTTTTCCTTATCTTTATTTGTCTGATGGCTAGGAGGGGTTTAATTCTGTTTGTGCCAGAGTAGTGGATTTGCACTAAGTGGAGCACTACAGGTAGGAAAAAAAGGTATTGTTACTTACAACATGCAGTTACACTCAGAGGAATAAAAGGATAAGAGTCCTTGCCGTGTGCAAGAGAGATCCTTCCATGCCTGCTGCATGGTTGGAGGTCAAAGAAAAGACTATTATCATTTTGTAGCAATTTTTTTTTAATTGCTGCAGTTGCTTTATTATTCCCTGAAAAATTCATTAATAAAGAAATATAAAAAGATCCTGATGGCTAAATATAATGTTTTAAGGTAGTACCATTCTGCTAACCCACTTTTATGTTATATCAGATTTCATGTTCAGTATTCCATAAAAATGTGTGTACTTTTGCATTTTTTCTATTGAGACACTAACAATTAGGAAGAACTATTTTCATTTAAAAAATGGCATAGAAGAAGATGCTATCTCTGTCTCAGTCTGTGCACCCTCTAAGAAAAAGCATTATTTGGTTTAATTTGTTTCAGGCTCGTGGACGAGCTCGAGCTGAGGAAAGTACCTATGTCCTTGTGGCATCAGGTGGATCAGGGGCTGCTGAACGGGAAAACGTTAATATCTTCCGTGAAAAAATGATGCATAAAGCAATTAAGCATGTCCAACAGATGCCTCAAGAGGAGTATTTACAGAAGGTGAAGCCTGCACATGGCAGTGTTTATTCTCAAATTAGTAATGGGTTTTCTTGCTAACTAATGTGTTGAAAGTGACTTAGACGTGTGGGTCTCAGATTTTCCCACTCTGTATGTATGTGTGTGAGAGACAGATGCATATTTACTCAGGTGTAGACCTTTGGGCAGGTAATGGTTGTCCAGTACTTCATGACATATGCTTCAAGATCAATTAATCAAGAAAGAGAAAAGAATCTAGTGATTTTACATTGTTTCTAAACAAGCTAGTTGAGATTCTGATTGAGTAATCTCAAAAATCAGTTGGCCTCTCCTGTGGCATTGCTGGAGGATGATTTGTGTGTGTATGTGTGTCTGTTTTGCTTTATCAGATTGAAGGGTTTCAGCTGCAAAGTATAATGGAGGTAAAAATGAAACACAAGAAACTACAGCGCAAAACATATACGAAAAACCCATCTTTGGTACGTTTCCTCTGCAAAAACTGCACTAAGCAAGTCTGTTCAGGGGAAGACATCCAGGTTATTGAGGATATGCATCACGTCAGTGTCAAAAAGGAATTTGAGTAAGTACATGTCATCTGTGGAACTTGTTCTACTAGCATTATGTCTGTCAGGGCTCCATAGCTCAGAGGTGGTTTCCAGAACATTTATACAAATTATGGGAGACAATGATTGTTTACATTTGTTTTATTTGGAGAAAAACTAAAATGGAAAAGAAAATAATAATCACAAAAATAATATTGTTAGTACAAATAGTACCTCTCATACACAGTTACTCATGTTGCTGACATTCAGTGCTCCCTTCCCCAGAGATATACCCATTTAGTTATTCATTCCAAGCCCCTTGTCTTTTCCAAAATTGCTAAGTTTCTTGTGCAGGAACCAGACTTTTCCCTTGCACAAAAACATATTGTATAAAATCTCCTGATATATCATTAAATCTATTTGTTTTTGACAAACTCATTTTTATTTTAATTTCACATATCAACTTGTCACCAATAGGCTAAATTCCATATTTTATACCATTCAGTTATTTGAAAATTATATTTAACCTACCAATATTTTGCTATAATTAGCTTTGCTGCTATAATTAAATTTGTAATTTTTTCTTCTCTTTTTCTTTTTCTTTCTTTTTTTCTTTGCACATCCCCTTTGATCTCAGTAATGGTCAAAAGTGTGATTTGGGGGCATATTTCACCTTAGTGCATAATAGTTCATAAATTTCCTTGAATACCAGCTTCCAGAATTTCAAAATAGAATCTCATTTCCACCACACATGAAAATTACCAACATCTTGGCTGCGTCTCCAACATATTATGGAATATTTAGAATCCATACAATTCAACATTACTGGCATTAAATACCATCTTCAAAATATTTTATTATAATTTTCCTTTATTCTCACAGACCTACTCTTTAAAATTATTTTCTTCCATATATTCTTCCTCACCTTGTTACTTATTTTCTTGCCAAAATCAACTTTTCATATTGTTTAAGGACTAATTTGTTGGTCTTCTGTCTCTGTCAATACTTTGTAAATTTTGCCTATCATCCCTTTCATTTTTTTTATTCGGGAGGCAATGCTAAGGAAAAAAATTAACTCTGCTTCTTGTGCTATCATTTGAAGACAAGGAATCTCATAGGGCTTGAAAATTCCTTGTTGAAGTGTCCCATTGAGTTGAGACGGCCTGTATCAACAGGAATGAAGAATACAGTGAATATTCTTTACATTATTTAATTACCGTACATCTCCCATAATTCCCCCAGCCAGTGTGGCCTTCCAGATTGCTTATTATGGAGCTGAAGCAGGAAACGTGGTCATTTATATCTTGTTGACTGGCAGAATCTGTGATCCCTGACCATTAGCTATGCTGGCTAGGGCTGATGGGAGATGCAGTCCAACATTGTCTGAAGGAACTCATATTTCGCACTCCTGTTGTTTAGGATCCACTGTTACACAGTCAGCTTGAGTTTTGACCTTATTTTAGGGTGCATGTGTTTCATTCCCAGATCATTCATTTTCTTTGAATGCCTGTGTGTGGAAGCATTGCTGCATTCTGCTGCTTTAAGTCCCTTTCCTCCTGGCTAACTTATTTCCAGGATATGACTCCCATCTGAGGAGAAATAGCTTTAAGTACATTCATGCCCCGCTTTACGATTACCCCGTATAATGACGAATCCACATCACAAAGATGTTTTTGCAATCGATGGTTTGAATGGGGTTTTTGCGCTTTACGATGATCGGATCCCTGCTTCAGGAACCAATTTTCGCTTTACGGCGATCAAAAACAGCTGATTGTCGGGTTTCAAAATGGCCACCAGCTGAAGAAAGTGGCCCCTCACTGTGCTTAGGGACAGATTCCTCGCTGCACAGGCAGCGAAAATGGCCGCCCCTATGGAGGATCTTCGCTGGACGGTGAGTTTTCAGCCCATTGGAACGCGTTGAATGGGTTTCAGTGCATTTCAGTTGGCTTTTTTTATTTCGCTTTACGACGTTTTCACTCTACAGCAATTTCGCTGGAACGAATTAACGTCATAAAGCGAGGCACCACTGTAATTAAGTATGGTGAGATGATACAATTTTAATTTTTTTTTTCAAATTTTCATGCCCAGTTTTGTTGTTTTGAGAGAGAAGATAAGCCATAGATGGTTTGTGATCAGGGTAGGGGTATATCACTGGGCACCACACTTCCCTAAACTGACCTGATCCAGTATTATTTGATTTCAGAAGCTATTTATATCCTGGCCTTACTAGTATTTGGATAGATTTACCACGGAACCCCAGGCAGCACTAGAGCAGTGGTTCTCAGACTTGGACTGCAGCTCCCAGAAATCCTGGCCGGCACAGCAAGTGGTAAAGACATCTGGGAATTTCAGTCCAAGAACGTTTGAGAACCACTGCACTAGAGAACCTGAAACCCTGGATAGCTAGTGGAAGGAAGAATTAACAGCAGATGGACCAGTGGTATCACTTAACAAGCAGCTTAAGGCAGCTTCCTATGTTTCTACATCATAGCCCACCAACCTCCACTTTCAGAATGACTTAGGAAGAGGTTTTGCAGTGCTCCAAGAGGTCAAAACTCCAAATGAATTTTTGCCTGTGAGAAGACAAGTAATGATTTGTCATTTGCTTAATAAAAAATTAATTCATATTTTTCAAATATTTTAGGGATCTTTACACTGTAATAGAAAATAAGACATTGCAAGCAAAAGAAGCTGGTTATCAAACAAATGGAGAAGTTATCTGCAAAGACTGTGGACAAGTAAGTCTCTCTTGTGGGTTAATTAAGAGAATCTGTGTTCTTTCGTGCTTAATAACAGTATTTGTTTTCCTTGAATATAACTTACATATTATTTTTCCAGACATGGGGAAGTATGATGGTACACCGAAGTCTAGATCTGCCTTGCTTAAAAATAAACAATTTTGTGGTTGAATTCAGAGACCGGAAAACTTCAAACCAAACCTACAAAAGGTGGGGAGAGTTGCCAATTAAGTTTCCAGCTTTCAATTATGCAGATCATTATGTTTCCAGTGAAGAAGACTAAGATGGACGCCGAGAGTGTAAAAGAAGATGCATTTGTTTCTTTGGAAACCTTAGATTATACAAGTCCAAGGACAAGTTCACACGGAGATGTTTATGACTCAAGAACTGCAAAGATCTAGGGATGATGTCTATGCATTGTATCCCAACAGATTTTTTTTACTTTGAAGAGAGGCAGTTCATGTGGAGAGTAATGAGTCACTAAGTGAGACGAAATGTTCTGTGACATGCACAAATGTGAAAAGTAGCCCCATGTCCCATAATTCTAACATGAGAGGGTCACCATGCTGGGTGTGCAACTAGTCTGCTTGGAAGTTTGTGTTTTGCCATGCTATCATTGTCCAATATGTGAAAAACAGACCACAGGTTTATTAGGCCTTGATGAAACCAAGAGGAAAAATTAATATATATGACCCTGTCTTATTTTCAGGGAAATACGGTAGTGTGGTTTAATATGTTACCAAAACTTATGTATTTTAACTATGTAGTTCGTATTAATACTGGAGAGTTTGTGGTTAAATATCTAGATCACATTAAAAATATATAAAATATGCCAGCATTGACTTTTCTTCTTCTTTCCATTCCTGGGCTTTTTGTAGTCAGGCCTATTATCTTAGTGTTAATCATCTTTATCCTAAGGATACATTATCAAACAAACAAACAAAAAATAAATATGACCAAAATCCTGTTGGGCCGGTTTCACTTGAGCAAGAGGAATTAAGACATTGTCAGCAGCAGATTGCCACTAATTAAAGATTTCTGCTTTCTATTCTGGGGTGCACATGGCTTTTATCTCATTGCTTATGAATCATGCAAACACCAATCTGCTGACTTGAGATGTCAATCTCATTATGCAGGCAGGACGTCACAACAAGTTTTTTGTTTGCAACTTTTCCAGTAGCAGGAGGCCCCTTCCCCCACATGTGGCCTTGCTTCTTGGTAACTTGCTCTGAGTAAAACAAAGTCTAGTGTACCAATTAAATAATGTGTTCTTAAGATTTCAGTAAAGGAGCAAATTGAAAGAGCAAGCAACTTCACATTTGCATATCTGTGAAGTCTTACACTTACATGTCTTGTTCGCACACTAGCAATTTGGAATGGACATCATTCACTTGGTTTTTGTACAGGATTTATTGTCTCCTTGGCTTTCCATTTGTCTTTTACTGTATTTTTCATAAAATACAGGACTGAGAACTCCCAGAAGTACAAGC